GGACAGTCACAAGCCTCCCGGTTTTCATCCAAAATATCTTAAATTATGTTCCGAAGACGAACAAAGCTTTTAGGGGTTTGGAACGACATGGGGGGTAAGTGATTAATGACTAAATTTTCATTTTGGGGTGGAGAATCCCTTTAACAAGACTTATTATTCAGGAAAACCATTCAAGTCATTAGTAAACTACATATTCTCTAGGTCACATTTTAAGGGCAATTACTGAATTTAGCACAAAGACAGATGTTAAAAGTTTAGAACATTTGGATGTATTTAAATGTCTTACAAAAATATAAAATTGCTTCAGTTTACATGAGTTTGTTTTTGGGCATTGACTTAAGAGCACTAATATTTTTCTGTTTTTAAACTGCAGGTTGATCTGAAGAAAGCACAGGAGATCGCACCAGATGACAAAGGTTAACCAGCTCTTTACAAATCCTTAATTTTGTTTAAAAACATCTTTATAATTATGATTTGTAAAAAAATGTTTTTAACATTTTCCTTGCCCTGGTTTCAGCAATTGGAAACGAAATGCTGAAAGTGAAGCAGCAAGTGAAGGAAGAGAAAGAGAAAGAAAAGAAGATTTACGCCAAAATGTTTGCGTAACGGAAACTGCAGTGACCTCACTCCACACCGACCTACCTGCATATGTTTACTTTGCACTTGTGTCTTAGTGTTTAAATCTAAAGCTGGGTAAAAAGGCTTTGGAGTCTCTAATTTAGGATATATGCCATGTGCAGTTTGGAAAGAAAGTCATATCGTCTGCTGTATTAGGAAACAATTTGTCTGTCAGTGAAGGGACAGTTTCAATGCATTTTTAGTGAGCTGATCTAAAGATGTCTTGTATTGATTACTGTTTAAGAAAATAGACTGACTTTAAAGACAGTTATAATGTTTTTGTTTCTGGGTTCATTTGTTTTAACTGCTGCTCATTCTATCAATCGGTGATGAAAAAAAGCAAAACTTTTTCTTTGTGAAATGAGAATCGGTCATGTAATTTGCGTCAAATAAAACAATGGATATTTTCAGGGACTTTTGGGTTTGTAGTTCTAGAAAACATACCAACAGATTGGAATAATTCATTTATTTCTACCTGTTACAGTTACCAAATTTGACAATATATACAAAACTGTCAGTTTACAGTTAACTGCATCATGGTGAGCTAAAACCGTCCACTAGTTGTTAATCCAACATGATAATTTTTCTTCTTTTATGACACATTCCTTAGACGTGATATATAAAAATGTTTTATCAAGTTTTCATCAAAACTGAAATTTGCAACACCACTTTATGTAATTACATTTAAAGCTCATATCAGACAGAATATGATGACATTCTGTTCCTTAGGCACATCAGAAGGGCTCTTAAGTCTTTAAAAGCTTTAGCCCTGAAAGTTGAGTAATGTGATTTTGAACTTGTGCGATGTACCCCAATAATAAAAACGATACATAATACTGAAATCACATGCCGTTGTAAGCTGGTCCACCACTGCCCTCAGGTACAACCCAGTTGATGTTCTGGCTGGGGTCTTTGATATCACAGGTCTTACAGTGGACACAGTTCTGTGCGTTGATCTGTAATCTCATGCCATCGCCTGTCTCTAGAGGAACATACTCGTATACACCTGTGGGACATCAGAGACAAAATGTCTAAACACTGGCAACTTGTTCAGCAGGTGTCTTCATCAACCTCATACTATCGAGCCTGATGATCTTGTATTATTGTGTGCAACCGAAAGGCTAATTTGCAGGTTACCATTGACTCATTGCTAAGTGCAGCAGAGTGGATTAGTTACATACCAGCAGGACAGAACCTCTGCTCTGGGCCGTCATAAACCGCAAGGTTTTGGGCCACAGGAACACGGTCATCTTTCAGCGTCAGATGGGGCGGCTGGTCATGCTCATGATTGGTCCCGCTCAAGGCTACAGATGACAACAGATCAAAGCTGATCTTCCCATCAGGCTTCGGATACTCGATGGGTGCACAGTCCTTAGCTGGCTTCAGCTGAGCAGAGTCTAGACCTAGAGAATATTAATTTGTTTCCCATTAGAAATGAAATACAAATGAATGGTGACTGATATCAGACACCCACTGCAGTAGTGAACTGAGAAGTAGTCTTGCATATCAACTTGTCTGACTATTAGCATTAAGTCTGGCCCACACCGAAGCTAATTCTGTCTAAGAACTGCCTGCTCAGACAGGAAGGGGCCCTCTGGCTAGCCACAGTTATTTGCATATAGGAGCAGGTGAATCTGAAATGAGACAAAACTTTGAAATGAGAACAAAGCAGAATATACAATTGTGCTCAAGTATATGTTGTTCAAACAATATTCTTAAATAAGGATTAGAAGCCTCCAAAAGTTTAGAAATGCCTTGGACGAAGTGAGGTTTTGGACAATTTCGGAACATTTATTTTTCTACATTTTGAATTATTAATATTTTATTAAAGTGTTTATTAAAACACAAACTATGAAAAGTCATCAGAAAGTTGCAAGGATTTATGCTAATATAGTCTAGAAACCCATGCACATCTAGTTTCTCAGAATTTTCACAGAATTGCTTAAAGCAGCAACCGAGTATCAAAATTATTACATGTACATGTAACAGTAAATAGCACTTTGTGTAAATATTATTATTTGTAAACAAGAGACAAAAAAAAACTAAAGTAAAAAAAATGCACTCACTCTTATTGTGTGTGTGTATATATATATATATAATACTTTCCGTACCCACTGTATATATATATATATATATAATAAATACAAATACATTGTACTGACTTTACAGCTCATAATACTGAATTTTCATCTATTTGCAATATTGTCTTTGATACAATGATCTAAACTAAAAGCTTGTTATAAACAAACATTTCATAAAGTGTTTCTTTGTTCTTACCATTATGTTTCAGAGTCCATGGTTCTTTTCCTCTCAAAACCCAGTAGAATATTCCAGTGTACAACATCCCTCCGTAGAGCCCAAAGTAGTTATGGAAAGATGGTCTGATGTTCCTCACAGCATACAACTCCTTGCAGATCCAGGACTTTTCCAAAGCTTCCTCATATTCAGGAATATAGAGACCTAACAGAGAAAAAAAAAAATCACACAAAAAATTCTCTGTCTAGGACACCTGAACACCTTTTAATATCCTGAGAATATGTTTAATACCCTGTGAGCTACACCCCAGCTAATTTGCAAAGATGTCTGGGTTGGCTACCTGCTGTTTCTGACTGCAGATTCTCATCTGTGATTCTGTTGAAGGCAGTCTCGGCTGCCAACATGCCACTCTTCATGGCTGTGTGTGTGCCTTTGATCTTGGGCACGTTCATGAAGCCCGGACTACACCCTATCAGCATGCCGCCTGGGAACGTCAGTTTAGGAATCGACTGGAGGAGAGATCATGGATGTGAGAAGTTAAACAAGAAAAAAAAAAGACAGAAGAAGAATTTAAATTGAGAATTTCAAGTCTGGTGCTGACATGCCTGGAAACCTCCTTCGTTGAGGGCTCTGGCTCCATATGCTATCCTGTTGCCACCCTCCAGGGTAGTCATTAGAGAGGGGTGATGTTTCCAACGCTGGAATTCCCTGAACGGGCTCAGGTAAGGATTAGTATAGTCCAAACCAACCTGATGAGACATGTATTAACATATCTGCAGTTCACCATAATAGAATAACTGCACTGACCCTTTGCAAAGCTCCACCCTCCTAGCTTACTGTTGCCTTACAGAGAGCTGAACTGGATCAATGAACTGACTTTAGCTGGAAAAATTACTCTATTATACTCTTGCATTATTGACAAACTATTTTCCTGTTTGACACTGTAAAGCTGCTTTGACACAATCAGTATTGTATAAAGCGCTATATAAATAAAGGTGACTTGACTTGCCTGCTAAGATGAGCCGAGAGAAGGACTACAATATAATAGTATTTGTCCCAAATACCCTACCATTCAAAAGGTTGAGGTTGTTTTTTTTAATGTTTTTCAGTCTCTTATGCTGACCTAGTCTGCATTTATCTGATCAAATATACAGTATAAACTATAATATTGTGAAATAGCCTTTTTCTATTTTAATATATTTTAAAATGTAATTTTTACTCTAGTTTTCAGTGTCACATGATCCTTCAGAAATCATTCTAATATGCCGATTTTGTGCTCAGGAAATATTTCTTCTTATAAATGTGGAAAACAGTTGTGCTGATTAATATTTTTGTATAGGATTCTTTGATAAATAGAAAGTTATTTAAAGGGTTAGTTCACCCAAAAATGAAAATTCTGTCATTAATTATTCGCCCTCGTGTAGTTCCAAACCCGTAAGACCTTTGTTCATCTTCGGATTTAAGATATTTTTTATGAAATATGAGGGCTCTCTGACCCTACCATAGACAGCAAGGTAACTACCACATTCAAGGTCCAGAAAAGTACCAAGATGATCGACAAAGTAGTCCGTATGACATCAGTGGTTCAACTGTAAAGTTACGAAGCTACGAGAATACTTTTTTGCGCAAAGAAAACAAAAATAACAACTTTATTCCACATTTTCGTCTCTACTGTGTCACTTGTGGACGCGCGTTCACGACAGTATCATGACGCGAGCGTGTAGCGGCACCGACACTGACCCAGATCCGGCGTGATGACATCATTCGCCGCCACACGCTGACCCCAGACTTTAGAACAGTAGTGTATCTCAAAACTGCAACTCCTCTGTTAGCAGCTCAGCAAGCGGATGAAATGCATTTAGGGGACAAACAATTCAGAGCAATCATGAGATTTGATTTAGTTCTGTCAATCAATCCCTGCACTGTATCTCCAGATAACTGTGACCAATCAGACTGAGTACCATTCCGGGCCATGATGACATTGGACAATAGCCGTCATCACTGCGGAACTCCTCAATACATCTGGAATTGAGACCATTTTCTATGAATCAGAAGCATTCCGTAACATGCCTCTTTTAAAAGTGATTGGAAATTTTTTTTAAATTTTGATATGCTACATTATAAGCAGGATGAGAGAATGTCCTCATGACTCTGACCAGGAACAACTTCAAACTTTGAAAGCCTTTTCATACTCTCTTGCCTATCGTTTTCACCCATGAAAGAACATGATGAATGAGGTCAATAATATCTATACAGATCAAAGCATTTGGACAAAGACATCAATCCAGAACATTCTGCTTTAAGATAAAAGCTTCAAAGAGGACTCTTGCGAGTCCAATGAAATACTTCAATCAGAGTTTGACCCAGAAGGCTCAGGAATAAGATGACTTACAACAAATCCCAGGGCCACCAGTGGTTCTCCCTCATTGAGGTGGTACAGGAAAGAGCCTCCGTATGTGTTCCTGTTCAGAGGCCAGCCAACCGAGTGCTCTGCCCGTCCTGGGCGCCACTTCTTCTCATCAATAACCCAAAGCTAGAAGAAAGCAGATTTATTATTATTATTTGTATATTAAATATTGTTTATTATGTTTAAAATTATGGCTATAATATAATATAGAATTTATATATTTCAACATAAAATATATTTTATTACACAAAACATATATCTTTTTCAATACCAACATCATTGGTTGCAATTCCCTTCACACTTCCATCCTCATGAAACAGCACCTGTGTAAAAAAAAAAAAAAGAAAGGTTGATACGAGATTGTCAGCTGTAATGTGACAAGAGTAATGTGACTTTATCATAACTTTGTATTACATAATTGTGACTCTCATAATATGAATTCATGTGATCTTATAACTGCAAATTTTTATATCTCAAAAAACTTTACATCTCACAATGTGGCTTATTTTAAATGTTATTATTATTTTTATTTATTTGTTTATTACTTTTATCTACAGCAACTTACAGAACCCTTATAAAGCATTTCCCTGTCTTTTAACCAATTAACTTCTTATATTCCACGACTTTTCAGTTATTTTCGATTGCTGTATATTAAAAAAAATAATACCTTAATAGACTTTATACAGAATATATACTGCTCACTACATGAAACAGCAGTCCTGAAGCCTGTTGCATGAAGCCGGTTTCGGTTTTTACCCTACCAATACCAACATCATTGGTTGCAATTCCCTTCACACTTCCATCCTCATGAAACAGCACCTGTGTAAAAAAAAAAAGAAAGAAAGGTTGATACGAGATTGTCAGCTGTAATGTGACAAGAGTAATGTGACTTTATCATAACTTTGTATTACATAATTGTGACTCTCATAATATGAATTCATGTGATCTTATAACTGCACATTTTTATATCTCAAAAAACTTTACATCTCACAATGTGGCTTATTTTAAATGTTATTATTATTTTTATTTATTTGTTTATTACTTTTATCTACAGCAACTTACAGAACCCTTATAAAGCATTTACCTGTCTTTTAACCAATTAACTTCTTATATTCCACGACTTTTCAGTTATTTTCGATTGCTGTATATTTAAAAAAATAATACCTTAATAGAGACTTTATACAGAATATATACTGCTTACTACATGAAACAGCAGTCCTGAAGCCTGTTGCATGAAGCCGGTTTCGGTTTTTACCTAAACTTGTCCTCTGTAACTGGAGTGTTCAGTGGAGCCTGTTAGACACAAGTCAAAATCAGTGTCTTGGCCATCATAGGCATCTTTTTTTGTGGTCCATGAGTCATTTTTAAACATGCTTAAAAAAAATTCAGGGAGTCCAATTTTGACCAGTGTATAGACTCTCCCATATTACCAAATCACATACATCCACATCACATACGCTAGAGCTATGCATATTATTATAGCTCAGTGGCTACTAAGCAACCCCATACCATGCAGTAACAGACACACACACACAAATCTCTCTAGTTGTTTTTGTTGAAAGGAATGGCTATGCTGTTCTCTGCTGAATGTGCTCCACTGAAGGTGCTTCTGAAATAAATGAGGGTGCTCTAGCCTTAATACACATCTATTTTGTGCCATTCATAGCTATGGCACAAAGAGCACTCCCTTTTATAATCACTAAAAAGCTGTCACTTATTTTAGTTCATTGCGATCTCGCAAAGTTAATTTATAATTAATATAATCAGCTCACTACTACACTGTTCAATGAATCTACTTTTTTTTACATCGCGTCTACATTTTGTATTATGATTCGCAAGCATGCAGAATTCAGTGCTGGACAAAACTCCAGGTTTGCGAGCGGTGAGTGGATTCTAACATAAACACCTCTTTCATTTAAACACCCCTGTGGGACAGGGCCAGTCCCTGCAATTCACCAAATCTTTTGCACACTCATCTTTTCATTTTATTTTCATTTTCTATCTGAAGCTATATAGCAGCAACATTGAAAAGCTCTATATCTCTGTTTAGCACGAAAGCTCAAGCAATTGCCGCCGGCTTGCTGTGCAGTACAGTCATGGCGTGAACCAACTGACTTGTAACGTGTGCAATAGCTCACGACCTCCCGAGCGTCCGAATTCGCACCGTGTTCGTCCGGATTGTTGTGTGTTAAGAGATCCTATGTGTGGTACAGTATGCATGTGTGTGTTTGTTTGTACCCCTCTCTCCTTCCAGTCTGGAATAAGCTCATTGAGAGCAGTAGCCTCTAGACAGGCTCCAGATAACGTGTGAGCTCCGATCTGAGATGCCTTCTCCACGACACAAACCCGCAGCTCCTTCTCATGCTGATTGGCCAGCTGCTTCAGCCGGATGGCTGCTGACAGGCCGGCTGGTCCGCCACCAACAATGACAACGTCTGCCTCATCAGCGAAGCGTTCCATTTCCACTCCTGAACAAATGAAAACAGACAATCACAGTGTCAATCACAATTATCTGTTTTTAATACAAAAAACACTCAGTGCCATTAAATGCAAAATCCAATTGTGGTTTTGTCTAAAAGTACAATGTGTGACATCAAGCATGGTTGTGGTTCAACCATAATGTTATGAAGCTATGAGAATACTTTTTGTCTGCAAAGAAAACAAAAATAATGACTTTATTCAACAATTTCTTCTCTTCCGAGAGTTCACGAGAGTATCACGATGCATGCGTGTGGTGCTGCTGAAGCAGGAGCCGGCGTTCTGACGTAGAACCCGGATGCGCTGTGCCTTCTTTACAAGCAGAAAAAGATGCACGCATGTGTCGTGGTACTCTCGTGAATGGCGGCAAAGAAATTGAGAGAAGAGAAGAAATTGTTGAATAAATTGTTGAATCATTATTTTTGTTTTCTTTGCACACAAAAAGTATTCTCATAGCTTAATACAATTAAGGTTGAACCACTGATGTCACATAGACTATTTTATCGATTTTATCTTACTACCTCTCTGGACCTTGAACTTGTGATTTGCATTGCTGTCTATGCAGGGTCAGAAAGCTCTCGGATTTGATCCAAAATATCTTCATTTGTGTTCCGAATATGAACGTCTTACGGAACATCTTATGAAGGTCTTACAGGTTTGGAACGACATGAGGGTGAGTAATTAATGACAGAATTTTAATTTTTGGGTGAACTATCCCTTTAAGTCTTCAATTCTTTAAAGCAGACTTGAAAAGGAAAATAGAGGGTGCTAATCTGGTATGGAGAGGTATGGTATGTAATATTATTAATCATTATAATATATTTATAAATCACACAGACATATGGCATGCCGTTCAGAAAATTGTGGTATTTATAATATGAAGCTTGGGTATATGAAATGGAATGAAACTTGAATATATTGAATGAAATTCTAAATATATGGAATGAAACTTGAATATACAGAAGGAAACTTGAATATATTGAATGAAAGTCTTAATATACTGAATGAAACTTGTATATATGGAATGAAAGTCTGAATATATAGAATTAAATTTGCAGTGTATGGAATTAAAATGCTAATTTGACAGTACTTAATGAATAATAATATAGCTAGTTATATCCTTGTTACCAGAGCAATAGCTTTATAATTTGAATGACTTTCAATTCATTTCATCAAATTTTCCAATACTTTGTTGAACTAGAAAAAATTTGGCAATAGCTGGTCATATTCCAACCAATACAAAGAGTTTGGAGTGTACATCTCGTCATCTTGATTTCCATCATCTCAGACATTCACACAGTACCCTATTAATTTTGACAGGAAATTTTTATTTAGTTTTAGTCTTTTGACTAAAATGACATATAGTTTTAGTCATATTTTATTCATTTGAATTGTTTTAGTTTCAGTCTAGTTTTAGTCAACTAAATATAAGATTTTAGTCGACTAAACATACAGTAGATTTATTTGACTAAAATCTGATGAGTTTGATTAAATTGTAATGCATTAATTAAGCATTTAAGTATCACACAACTGTTACTTGAATACATGCCAAAACGGACATCTTGAAATAACTGTGTTTTTGACCATTTAAGTGCAAAAAGACAGAAAATAGAGCTCAACTCAGTACTCGCCAGGGCCTAACGCGTACTTTTTATGGTTCTAGTTAACTATAATAACCCTGATACTAGTAAAACCTATTTATTGAATAATATGTCAAATAATGTCCTTAGTCTTTCCTTCCTGTGACTGGAATCCCTGAAACAAGACCGAAATACACCAGAACTCTTATTTGCAGGCAGTTCATTTAAGTTCAGATGAGGGAGATAAAATATGCATTCTTACAACTATCTAAAACATTGTAAAGTAATTCATCAGCATTAGTTCATAAGCAATTGCTTGTCAAAAATGTGTGCTATTCCTTTATTGCAAACCGCTCTGTATCAGTGTGAAGCACTGTTGCACGAGCCTGTAGAACGTGCAACAGAGCCGTGTTTTCCCGCGGTTAGATCAGTACATTACATTTCAGATGTGCGCACCTACCACACATCAGATTGCCATAAAATTACCAAAACTACAGGTAAATAAACAAATGTGCTGTTCACACAAGCAACAGTGTTACCTATTTTACTAGTAAGATACCATTCACATGTTTCAAACCAACGGTGAACTCTGTAATGTCAATTATCCACCTGCCTAATTCAAGTTTCGTCCCATATATTCAGACTTTCATTCCATATATTCAAGTTTCATTCCATATAATCAAACTTACATTCCAGATATTCAGACTTTCATTCAATATATTCAAACTTTCATTCCATTTATTCAAGTTACATTCCATATATTCAGAATTCCATTCTATATATTCATATTCCATTCCATATATTCAAACTGTCATTCAATATATTCAAGTTTCATTCCAGATATTCAGACTTTCATTCAATATATTCAAACTTTGATTCCATATATTCAACTTTTTCATTCCGCATATTCAGAATTCCATTTCATTTATTCATACTTCCATTCCATATATTCAAACTTTCATTCAATATATTCAACTTTTTAATTCCGTATATTCAGAATTCCATTCATATATCCATACTTCCATTCAAACTATTCAAGTTTCATTCCATAAATTCCGATTTCCATTCCATATACTCAAACTGCATATTATAAATACCATAATTTCCTGAACGGCATGCCATACAGACAATATACAGTGGGGCAAAAAAGTATTTAGTCAGCCACCAATTGTATATATATATGAGTGATTCTATAATTGCAGGTACATTTGGTGTCCAAAGTTATAATTTTTTTTCTGCTTTTTTCAAATGGCTATATTTTTAATTATTTTAATACTGTGTTACTCATTGTTATGAATTACAAGATGTTCCAGTCCATAACAATATAAAAATTTTAGCAAAAAGTGTCTTAAATAGCTGAAAATCATGATTTCTTGTTGTCTGAATTAGTCAGTGCATTTTTTCCATCATGTATCATTGTGTAATCAAAATATTTTATTGTACTTTTCTTTTTGTAATATTTCATTCATTTTATTTATAAAAACCCTAAAGAGTCATTTACCTAATTCTACAACATTATTTAAAAAAATATAATTCTTATAAAAATGTGTGTCTGTAAATCTTGAGTCAACTCTGTTACCGTACCATACTTTGCCTTTAAATTAGTGGAATTTTCTCCCACAACTATGTAAGATACAGGAAATGATGTCACTTTCCCTCACTGTTAAGATCTGAAGCACTGAAAAGTCTATGTGCTCTCTCTAAGAAAATATTTTAATCTAAAAGTTCTTACACCAAGAGGTATTTTATAAAGTGTAAAATCTGTTACTACAACATCAAAAGGAAAACAGATTTTTTTCATTGATCACACTTTGTGTTATTTAAAGTCTTTTAATCATGATTTCATTAGTGCCATGTGCGCTTAGCATTTATGCTAGCAAGTGGAGTTTTTGGCAAAAAATAAAGAAAATTGTCAATTCTGTTACTTTACAATTCTGTTACTTAAAGGGTCAACTCTGTTTATGAACTATTTTCACAAAAAAAAAACAATACATTTGTTGTTTAAAATCCTAATAAACATTATTGATTTATTTTTGCACCCTTATAATATTTCAACAACATTTATTTTTTTAACTGGATATTGTATATAATACATTTTCAGATGAAAAATATTTGCTCCAAGTGGACGGTTCTGTGAAGACACAGGTATTTTTTTTGTTTTTTTTGCATAGGTGAAAGGTATGCATAGGTGAAATATTATCTCAGTTTCAAGTGATGGAATGTAAGGACTGTTTGTCCTTACATTCCTGTTTTTCAGAAATCCATAACAGGATTTTTCCTGTTATGATTTATTGTTATTTCTACACATTGGCTAATTTGTCCGTAACAGAGTTGACAAACAATACCATAAAGACATCTGTTTTTTTCATTAAAAGTAAAAAAAGGAAGTAACTTGTAAACACAAGCACTGAATTATTAAAATTAAATATATTTTCAATAAGATTCTGCAAAAAAAAAAATCTGTTAGTGAAGAGTTTTTTTTCTTAACTTTCTGCAATGCCAAATGTATCTCCAATTATAGAATATATATATGTAGACAATATACAGACAATAATATATATTGTCTGTGTGATTTGCAAATATAAATATAATGTAACCTTTAATATGGATGTAAAATCATATTATATATATATACAGTATTTTCACCAACAGAAAATGGTTTTAAGCCAGTAAAAAATTGGGACGGAAAAAACTAAGACAGACTAAATCCAGAAGAACTGTGGCAACGTTTCCAAGACACCTGAAGAAACTTACCTGTAAGTCTGTCTCAGTTTTTTTCTGACTCTTGTAATTCCAGACAGACCGGATAATGATGAAATCAGATCTCAGTGTTGAGCATACTGGCTGTTGTCAGACTCCTTGTGCATACAAAAATCTCACTGGATTATTAATGGCATAAGGAATATTTGGAAAAGTAAACTGATATTTCCTACTGACACGCTACAGAAAAAGTTAGAAATAACTGGCTTAAAACTTTTTTTTTTTTTGTGAAAATACTAATGGTCTAAGACTTGTACAATACTGTATAAATACACAAACACACTCTCCTTAATACACTTAATAGTATTACTCACATACTGACTTTAAAGAGACTTTAATTTATCAGTGTATGCATTAAGAGTAAAGTCTAAATCTTTAGCACATTTCTTTAGTCAACAAAATAATCGTCTATGTGCTCTCTCTAAGAAAATATTTTAATCTAAAAGTTCTTACACCAAGAGGTATTTTATAAAGTGTAAAATCTGTTACTACAACATCAAAAGGAAAACAGATTTTTTTCATTGATCACACTTTGTGTTATTTAAAGTCTTTTAATCATGATTTCATTAGTGCCATGTGCGCTTAGCATTTATGCTAGCAAGTGGAGTTTTTGGCAAAAAATAAAGAAAATTGTCAATTCTGTTACTTTACAATTCTGTTACTTAAAGGGTCAACTCTGTTTATGAACTATTTTCACAAAAAAAAACAATACATTTGTTGTTTAAAATCCTAATAAACATTATTGATTTATTTTTGCACCCTTATAATATTTCAACAACATTTATTTTTTTAACTGGATATTGTATATAATACATTTTCAGATGAAAAATATTTGCTCCAAGTGGACGGTTCTGTGAAGACACAGGTATTTTTTTTGTTTTTTTTGCATAGGTGAAAGGTATGCATAGGTGAAATATTATCTCAGTTTCAAGTGATGGAATGTAAGGACTGTTTGTCCTTACATTCCTGTTTTTCAGAAATCCATAACAGGATTTTTCCTGTTATGATTTATTGTTATTTCTACACATTGGCTAATTTGTCCGTAACAGAGTTGACAAACAATACCATAAAGACATCTGTTTTTTTCATTAAAAGTAAAAAAAGGAAGTAACTTGTAAACACAAGCACTGAATTATTAAAATTAAATATATTTTCAATAAGATTCTGCAAAAAAAAAAATCTGTTAGTGAAGAGTTTTTTTTCTTAACTTTCTGCAATGCCAAATGTATCTCCAATTATAGAATATATATATGTAGACAATATACAGACAATAATATATATTGTCTGTGTGATTTGCAAATATAAATATAATGTAACCTATAATATGGATGTAAAATCATATTATATATATACAGTATTTTCACCAACAGAAAATGGTTTTAAGCCAGTAAAAAATTGGGACGGAAAAAACTAAGACAGACTAAATCCAGAAGAACTGTGGCAACGTTTCCAAGACACCTGAAGAAACTTACCTGTAAGTCTGTCTCAGTTTTTTTCTGACTCTTGTAATTCCAGACAGACCGGATAATGATGAAATCAGATCTCAGTGTTGAGCATACTGGCTGTTGTCAGACTCCTTGTGCATACAAAAATCTCACTGGATTATTAATGGCATAAGGAATATTTGGAAAAGTAAACTGATATTTCCTACTGACACGCTACAGAAAAAGTTAGAAATAACTGGCTTAAAACTTTTTTTTTTTTTGTGAAAATACTAATGGTCTAAGACTTGTACAATACTGTATAAATACACAAACACACTCTCCTTAATACACTTAATAGTATTACTCACATACTGACTTTAAAGAGACTTTAATTTATCAGTGTATGCATTAAGAGTAAAGTCTAAATCTTTAGCACATTTCTTTAGTCAACAAAATAATCTTAACTACAAAGTAATTGTATTTTAACCAACACAATTAAAATATTACAGTTTAGAAATGTCTTCATTCATGACAATCAACTGACAATAACGAAATGTAACATACATACATTTCTATGACTTCTCCATTTTCTTTTGATTTGATGTATTTCTGGAACTCTTACAGGCTTACATTTTTTTTCTTCTATCTTAAATTACAAGGTTTATCCGTCTTGTGAATAAAACCCAGAATCTGAAATTCTGTCTGTCTTATCCCATCACGTGTGTTCACCTCTAAAGAGAATACAGTGAAGAAACAACATGTAGCACAGAACTGACCTTCCCATCGTGGGTCCTTATCTCTGGGGTACACTGTGTAATGAGTGGTAATGCGTGGCACAGTGGAGGAGGAACACCGTGTGGAGTACACCTGAGGAGCGACATGCTCCGCTTGAACCACCTTCAGTGCACGTATACACCTCCGTGCTACAAAAATATAAATAAAAGCAAAACAATTACATCACACACAGAACAAGATAAGACCATTCCCATACAGTTACACATTAACTTAATGTCAGATTAACCTACAGTTTAGTATTACAAACACACTGTGTGTATACACTGTCCATTATGCATGTTAATATATCAATAAAGTTGATCCAAATGAAATGGATCAACAAGATAAGCTGTTACAAAATCCTCCTTTATGTAACAGGCCAACTAAGGTACTCTTCTAAAAGAAGCAACCCGACTTGTAAGCATTATTCGTTTGCTTACAAAATTCAGTTTCGTGTATACAGCCTATTTAATGCAGGAACAGGTTATTAATGTGTTCACCTCTCAGACACAAGGACACACACACTCTGACCGATATTCGAGTGACCGTTGCCTACTTTCCCCTCTGTGCCGAACTGCTGCAGGATTGTATTAGCTAGCAGACAGATACATCTACAATTTAAAACATGAAGCGGTGCATACATGGGTAATAGCAACTTAATAAGACAGTTAACATGCTCTCAGGTTTATAGATGCAAAGGTTTGCAACGTTTAGTTAACGTTCGGGTTACAAGACAGTGAAAGTGTGACTACCTTGAAGGGAATATCTACAGGCTGGAAACATTTATGGAGCTGAATGTGCGCCTGTGAACCTGGTCAAGTGCTCCCCGTTGTTTTCCAGGTTGAGTGTGGACAAACAAATATCACCCCGGTTTACCCTGTTACAAAATAGCTTTCATAACAAACTCAAGTTGAGCAGCGTTGACGTTGAACGACGTCAGAAAAACGCGCCGGAAAACCCAGCGAATGACTGCTGATCATAAACCCATATGGATGAGAGTTATGCGCTGCTCGCGATAGCAACGGGGAACTGTCATTAAGTTCAGCTGTCAGGAATTTTTCTTTTTTCTTCTTTTTCTTTTTTGGTAGTGAACTTGTAGGTGTTGTGAACTTGTGACCATAGACACAATAAAGTGTTTTTTGTTTAGTTTTTTTTATTAAGTACAAAATCTGAATACAACAACATGGCATTAGTTAGCATACAAAAATGAAGGAATCTTGCATGGAAGGCTCAACGCAATAGAACAATATTAATTCCAGACTAAACATATAACATTCCAAGAAACATCATAAAACTAAATAATAATATATAGAAAATACAATTACATCAAATTATATAATATAAACAAATTAAATACTGTCAATGCCTTTTGATTTTTCATTTTTACTAAGGGCATCTGAGAAATGTTTGAGATCATTTCTAAATACAATAAACAAAGGAGGAGATTTAAAACATCTACGTTTATGAATAAAGTATTTAGCTAATAGTAAAATATCATAATAATCTGTATGTCTAGGGTTGTGACAGTTTGTCGGTGTGGTATTTGCCCCGCCCCTCCTCCACTCTGATTGGACGGCTGACTCAAAAGTGACAGTAATGAGCGCTGCGGTTTACCCGCAGTGTTGCCAATTTAGCAATTTTTTTGCTAAATTTAGCAACTTTTCACACTACCCTAGCAACTTTTTCTTTTAAAAGCATCTAGCAACAAATTTAGCTATTTTTTTAACATTATCGGGCAACGTTTAATAAGTGACTCAAACGATAAAAAGGCACACATTTTCATCTAAATTACACAAAAAGAGGAAACAAAAGCTGAGTACACACATCATGCGAATCAAGTTACTTGCTGTTTACAATTATTAATAATAATTTCATAATTGTTCATTAATCATACACCTTGTTAGCTTGTACCTGTGATTGTTGATCACTTAGTACACTGTAAGGAAAATATCTAGAAAAATGGAAAAGGTACTAGTAATTTTACAGGACACTATTCGTTATCCATTATCCGTTGTAACCCTGTAACCCGAAAACACTCAATGCAGTGCATAATTAAAAATGCACGTAAAAAACCTGTGAAAAATCAATACGGAAAATTCCTTCATATTAACATAGTAGACTGTGCCCTAGCTTACTAGCTAATAAAAAAACTTAAATTTTATAAGCCCTAATTGTTCAAAAATGTGTAAGTGTTCAACAATTCAATGTTGTATTTAAAAATACAGTTGTTTATATTTTAATATTATATTATGCATTTATATTATTTTAAGAACAAATCTAAATTAACATATATAAACTGTTTTTGCTGAGATTTTATGCAGTGACACAATTTCGCGTCGTGATTACGTAACGACGTCATTTAGCAACTTTTAGCAACAAATCGACCTTCCTTTAGCAATTTTCTCTGAAAATTAGTTGGCAACACTGTTTACCCGAAGTTGAACATTATTCAACTCTCGGCGCCAAGAAAAGAGCGTGAAAAAGACGCTCGGCACGCTCCTGGCGTTTTAAGTAACGCGGCGCTCCCATTGAAAACAATTTAACAAAATAGCTAGCCTCGGGAAAAAACGCTTTGGTGAACACGGTCTTGTCTTCAGCTGCTTCTTGAAGGATGTGATGGTCTCAGCAGTTCGGGACGGGTGGAGGTTGGCAACTCATTCCAGCAGAGAGGTACAGAGAGGGTGCAGGTTTCGGAGAATGACCTTTTGTTGTTGTTGTTTTTTTTATATGTATGTATGTTTGTTTGTATTTACTTGTGGCATGGCAAGGCTGCGCTCATTTAGAGACCTTAGCTGGCGTGAGGGAACATACACTTGTTGTAGCACTGAAATAAACAACGAAGAAGCCAATTTTGAGGACCATTGCATATTTGTTTTTGCATTGTGACTTCATTCTGTTATTATATTTGAATATATTTAAACATTTCATTTATTTCTGTGATGGCAAAGCTAGATTCTCAGAAGCCATTACTCTAGTCAAGTGTTGCATGATTCTTCAGAGACTATATAGACAGGTTTCAAATATATCGACAGGTTTGAGGTTTCATAAGATTCACCCATAAGTATGGCAAGCTGTCAGTAAGTGGAGATCTGTTTCCACTTAATTGGTGTGCAATAGGGCAGTGGTTTTCAATCCTGGTCTTGGGGACCCACTGCTCTGCACATGTCTCCGGGCCAGTGGTGAAGTCTCTACGTGATACGCAGGTATACGCCGTATACCCACTAGAAAAGGTGAAGGATTTCCGTATACCCACTTAAAAAAGCGAGAGGATACGTAACAACATCGTTTTGTAACAGAACTTTAACACGTTCATTCATAAATTCACCCTGTCCATGTTGCAAAGCACCTACTTTTTGAAAATCATGCCGTGCTTCTGTTGATGACCAGTGCTATTGCGCAACTCTTGTGCAGCATTGAATGTGAATCACTAAAGGAGATATGAAACGAAAGCAAACTCAAACTACACTCTTTCGGTGTTTTCGTAAGCCTGCCCCTGAAGCTGCTGCTGCTTTAGCTGCAGCAGATGACACAAATCGCTTCAATGTTTTAATTGGCAAGGCTTAAAAAACATGCAAATTATTACATTTCGTGAGGATGAAGTCCCTCTTCAGCGTCTCCGTCTGCCGCAGCTTGGTGTCGTTAGCCCCCGCGTGAAGCACGACCGCTCCGGGGCTCTTGTCACCCTTCAGGATCGCGGGTATCTGCGCAGAAACATCGAGAACACGAGCACCAGGGAAACAGTGAGTGTGCACCTTACCTTCAGCTAACGTAGCACGGACGTGCCGGACGATGGAGTCTCCGATGATCACAGCGTCGCGTTCCGTCTCGCGGAGGGGAGCGAAGCGGTTCCGGGTGGAGATCTCGAAGACCGGAGGCGGCGGAGGGGGAGAGCATTAAAGCCCTAGGAGGATATACAGTAGGCTACAGCAGCTGAAAATTATTGGTCTCAGAAGAATAATAAGTTTAAATAGTATAACAGTATGTTGGCTTTCTCAAGCCAACATAACTAGCTAATACTTAAGTAACGTTAGCGTGGTGGATCAGTGAATGCGAGAGAAGGGGAGAGATAATACACATACTGTGTATGTCTTTGTTTCATTGTAATGGACTGCATGGATCTATTTCTGTTACTCTTTTCCACCGCACAGAAGAAATTTACGTTCTAAATGGTGATAAAACATAAGTCATATTACCACAGCATGTTTTAGTTCCACAAGACATAAATAATTAGGAAAAAAAATATTAAATTAATTAATAGGGTCTACTGGTCATCTGTGACTGCTTGTGAGTCATTTGTGACTTTGTATTACTTGAAACGAAACAGTATGATTAGTGAATAGCACAGAATGTATGTAGGAGAAATGTATTAAAAATAAAGATATTACCATGTGAATCACATCCTAGCAACATCATACATCTTGACACCTATAGCACAGAACATTCTCCCACATGTGAATCATTTAGAAACTTCTAAGTTTAGTGGCACAGGTGACTTTGGCGTAAAGCAATATATCAACACCTTCACTGACAAACATTTTCTGATATAGTGAGTTGAGAAAGAATTGCATTCAAACATTGAACACTGAAATGCCAAGAATATTTTTTAAATGGTTTTTATTTTTTTTCCATTTTTTCCATTCATAAAATTAAAGGTAATCTCTGAGAATGACTTGTCGCAAAAACAGGATTTTCTTGAGGGAAACATCCTCAATGCAAGAATTTTATTTATTTTATTTTTTAAATTAATAATCACAGTTGTAAATTAGAAACTTAGAGATGTAATAGAGGAGCACTGTGAGCGTGTCACTAATGGTGTTTTTTTTTTTTATAATTCTCATTGTTCTAAAAGGTGATACCTAATCTTGTTGCTTTGATACTGTATTTTTTTTTTACTATATTACATTACTTTCTTTACCACTTAAATCTGCATTGTTAAATACTGCCATGATGTATACTTTACTATTTCAATTATTTTTTATTCCAAGTTACAGCGCTGCAAATGAGATTTGTTTGCGTTACAGTGATAAAAACTGGGGTAGAAAACATAAAAAATGTCACAGTGCAAAAACTTTTAAAGGTCCTAAATATGGCTTCATTTTCATTAAATAGTTTATTTTTTATTTTTTTGGGAGGGTTAAATATAGACTGATTATGCTCATGCTCATGTGCGAGATTCATCCCACTATATCTTTATATATTACTCTCTGAATGACGATACCATTGTGCAGGCAGGCAGACAGTTTCAGATAAAAATATTCAAATAGGGATTAAATAAATTATACATGAGTTTCTATTTGTACAGTGAGATATTTCCATAAAAACTGTACACTACACATAGTCCTACTGATGATCCAAGAATAAAAACAAGGCAACACTGAGTGGACATTTGCACTGTGTTCCTCCTGTGGTTTTGAAAGAGAAAGACCATTAAAATGACTGACAGATATCTCTAATTAAACCACCAGGCTCCGTACTGCCTTCACACCTCACAGTTTAAGGAATGACATTTCATATGGAAACCGAAGAGCTCCTACAACATCTGTTAAGACCCTGAATAGTGCTTGAACCAGTTTGGCTAGATAAAAATAATTCTATACAATATATATATGTATATTTTTTACAAAAAGCAGCAGGTATTAACATGCTACACACATTTTCAGATGGACAAGAAACACATCTTAAACACTGAATAGCTGCACACCAGTACTAACACTGAAAAGACACAATGTCAATCATTACAACAAACAAGGGCAAAAGTCAAACGTGTAACATACTGATGGCAAAACACTAAGTAAACACTTTTATTATTCAACTGTCTTTATTTTCTCTGTCATTACAGACCCTGTGGATGAGTCACTACTTGTAAACAAACTACGCCTTATCAGTGGCTTATCAATACAATACAAACAAATGAATTGTGCTGTTATGTCCCTGTTGAAAAGATTAGCTTTGCTGCCCACTAGCAGTAGCATGTTGTCTTTTGAATGCTGGTGTGCTGATGCCCCTACAAGGCTTTTTGAAAGAAAAGTTTATCTCATCATTTACTCTCTATCATGTACAAATGTGTTGCTCTGTTTTTTTTTTTTGTTTTTTTTTTGGTCATACAGTGAAAGTCAGTGGGGTCCAGATGTTTCAAGATCCAGTGGTTTTATCCAAGAAAACGACCTATATCCTTTTTTAAGCTTTAAGCTTTTGGATCAGTGTTATTTTATTATCACTAAGATTATATATATATATATATATAATTATTTTTTTGTCTATATAGTGTTTATTCATTTGTATTTAGTTATTTTAGTATATCAAGTTAAACTAAGTGAAAATGTGAAATGTTGCCTTGGAAACGAGTTTGCATAAGCTTAATTTTTGTTATTTAAATGAGTTAATTCAGTAACAAAAATGTATTTTATTTTATTTTTTTATGGCTTTAATTTTAGTTTACAGTAATAACTGTTTTGGGCCCCATTGACTTTCACTGTATGAACAAAAACAGCAGAAATGTTCTTGAAATAAAATTATTTTATGTTTTGCTCATGAGTTTGAAACAACATGACGGTGGAATGAAATAATGCGATAATTATATCTTTTTTTTGACTGAACAATCCAGTAGCATTCAGCTTAACCAGCAGCTCTCCTTTGGTAAACCGCATTAACCAGCCAGTCTTTTCAGCAAGGCTTGCAAACCTCTGGCTCTTTGTCTTTGTTTTTTCTTTGCCATTCTCCTAATATGCTCCCAAACAAACACACAGTCAGTCAAACGCATGACAGCAAACTGTCGTTATATGCAGCGCATCATTATCATCCCTGCTCTGAGTGAGGACATTCATGTAAACATCCACAAACTTACAAAGAAATATATGTATGCATGGCATGCCCTGTCGGAATGAGCCCATGGCTGTGAGGCATGAGGTGATGCTGATGGCAGGACACCATCAGACCACTTCATGTCCCGTTCGACCCCTCCACGGGCAGTAACTGGGTGGTGTTGGACATTTCGGATGGATGCGCCAGGTAGTCGGGGGTGCAGAGGATTTGGCTATTTTCTTGCAGAGGCCACATTTCCTGCCACGTGAAGGAAGGCAGATGAGCCGGGTGGCTGCTGAGGAGGGGTCTCCGCTGCCTGTAGTTGGACCACACCTGAAGCAGTGTCTCTTTGAATGGCCGCGTGGTCAGCGTGTATAAAATGGGATTGAGAGCGCTGTTGATCGGCAGAATAAAGATGACAACCCACGAGCTGATGGTTCCTGCAGAGGGTTCATTCAAGAAGAGTATTGGGGAGAAAATTATGCATTGAGAGTTGATATCTCATGTAATTTTTTGCTGATTGTTTTTCTTTGAAAAATCATTTTGGACAAGGCATTCCACTTTTCAACTGCCAATTAATTATCTCTGGAGATATCACCATTCAAAAAGAGAATAGGAAAAATGTCCTCGAAAAATATAGCTTGAATTCAGCAATCATATAATGAAGCACAGTGTCATTTGCCCAGCCATTGTCGAATATTATACTGAACAAAATTATAAACACAACACTTTTGTTTTTATCAGAGGCCACATTTCCTGCCACGTGAAGGAAGGCAGATGAGCCGGGTGGCTGCTGAGGAGGGGTCTCCGCTGCCTGTAGTTGGACCACACCTGAAGCAGTGTCTCTTTGAATGGCCGCGTGGTCAGCGTGTATAAAATGGGATTGAGAGCGCTGTTGATCGGCAGAATAAAGATGACAACCCACGAGCTGATGGTTCCTGCAGAGGGTTCATTCAAGAAGAGTATTGGGGAGAAAATTATGCATTGAGAGTTGATATCTCATGTAATTTTTTGCTGATTGTTTTTCTTTGAAAAATCATTTTGGACAAGGCATTCCACTTTTCAACTGCCAATTAATTATCTCTGGAGATATCACCATTCAAAAAGAGAATAGGAAAACTATGATCTTTCAGTGAAATGTCCTCGAAAAATATAGCTTGAATTCAGCAATCATATAATGAAGCACAGTGTCATTTGCCCAGCCATTGTCGAATATTATACTGAACAAAATTATAAACACAACACTTTTGTTTTTGCCCCCATTTTTCATGAGCTGAACTCAAAGATCTTTCTATGTACACAAAAGGTCTATTTATCTCAACTATTGTTCATAAATCTGTCTAAATCTGTGTTAGTGAGCACTTCTCCTTTGCCGAGATAATTCATCCACCTCACAGGTGTGGCATATCAAGATGCTGATTAGACAGCATGATTACTGCACAGGAGTGCCTTAGGCTGGCCACAATAAAAGGCCACTCTAAAATGTGCAGTTTTATCCCACAGCACAAGGCCACAGATGTCGCAAGTTTTGAGAGCGCGTGCAATTGGCTGAATGTCCACCAGAGCTGTTGCCCGTGAATATAATGTTCATTTCTCTACCATAAGCCATCTCCAAAGGCGTTTCAGAGAATTTGGCAGTACATCCACATCCGGCCTCACAACCGCAGAGCACGTGTAACCACAACAGCCCAGGACCTCCACATCCAGCATCTTCACCTCCAAGATTGTCTGAGACCAACCACCCAGACAGCTGCTGCAACAATCGGTTTGCATAACCATCAATCAACTCTATGCGAAGGAGATGTGTTGCATTGCGTGAGGCAAATGGTGGTCACACCAGATACTGACTGGTTTTCGGACCACCCCAATACAGTAAAGCTGCACATTTTAGAGTGGCCTTTTATTGTGGCCAGCCTAAGGTACACCTGTGCAATAATCATGCTGTCTAATCAGCATCTTTATATGCCACACCTGTGAGGTGGATGGATTATCTCGGTAAAGGAGAAGTGCTCACTAACACAGATTTAGACAGATTTGTGAACGATATTTGAGAGAAATAGGCCTTTTGTGTACATAGAAAAAGTCTTAGATCTTTGAGTTCAGCTCATGAAAAATGGGGGCAAAAACAAAAGTGTTGCGTTTATAATTTTGTTCAGTGTATGTGGATGGAAAGAGCATTCAGTGGGCCCTTACTCACCAAGCATGCACACACATGAATTTGTGCATGAAATCTGTGTATAAATGTTTTCACAAACAAATCAGATTCACCAAAATCACAAAAACTGATTCTAAATTTACAGAAATATGTAGGGACAACTGTAAGCAAACATACACAAAAAACACATACTCTGGGTGGCCTTATAATCGTGTTAAGCTGAATTGTTTTACTCCTGTGCATACAAATACAAAATAATCCATGCAATAGAGAATAAGACCCAATGTTTTTGAATACTGAACATACTTTGAAGCACAGTTCATCCAAAAAATACAATTCTGTCATTATTTACCCTCATGTTATTCAAAACATGTATGACTTTGTTTCTCCAGTGACACACAAAAGGTGAATTTCTGAATAAAAAGCTCCATAAACGTAGCCCACATGACTTGTGCACTATATTCTAAGTCTTCTAAAGTCATATGATGGCTTTGTACAAAGCCCATCTTTATTCAAGTAATTTGTGAATGGAGTGAACAAATCATTATTTTGAGTCAAATCTTTTCAATGAATCAGCTGAACCAGTTCCAAAATCTGTACAATTTTTGATGCTTAAAAGCTCCAGCCCTTATTCATTGCAATAATATGCAAACGAATGATCGGTGAATTATTGAAAAATGCCTCTTTTTGTGTTTCACAGAAGAAAGAAATGCATATAGGCCAGTAACAATGTGAGGGAGAGTACCGACTAGTAGATAATGAGAGAATTTTCTTTTCTCTAGCTATAATTCTTAAGGTGAAGTAACACTTTTGCATACCCTTTGTATTACATTAACTTTTAGATGCCTTTAACCTGAACAAAACATATTGTTTCAGCTCAATATAAGACTCATCCTTGAAGAAGTCAATGGCCCTGAAAACTTTAAATGGCCCCATGACACACTTACCAGGTATTTCAACCTCCATAAGCGAAAGAATCTTGAGTATGAAAATGGGAATCCAGCACAGCGAATCAGTGATGACAATGGAGAAGAAGCGTTTGGCAATGGTCAGCTCTTTCTTAATGTGGTTGCTGTATTTGGTCGTCTGTGTTCCTGTTCTCTGGATATTGTAAAACATGCTTCCATAAGACAGTACGATGATGAGAAAAGCCACCAGATTGAGACCTATTTGGAAACAGGATATGTTTTTGATATTATATATAGCACTGAAAAGCATTCATCATTGTGAAGGATGACCTCATCACAAAACATAAACACCACAACAATACACTTTCAGGTCAAGAAAGATTAAGTTATTGTTGAGATGATTGGTCTTGTTGGAAGCCACCTAATTTCCTCAAAGCCCTCAGTCCTTTTCCCCAATCTTAAACTTAGACCTCTCCGTGTGACCTCTATCGCACAAACAAATTGAACACTCGCAGAGAGAACAATTTCCTAACCAAGAACAAAAGAGTCCATAACAACTCCCTACTGCTTTAAGAACAGGAAAGTTAACAACTTTTGAAGGAGGAATTCTAATGCCTCAAATGTTAAAAAAATTAACAGTGCAACATTGACCACCCACTTATTCAGCTGTCTCAGTTCCAGACAAGCTTTTTCCATTGATTTTCTCCATAGGGAATCAAAACATACATAAACCATACCAATCAGCTCTGAGATGAACTGAGGAATAAAATTTTTATACATATTTAATATACTTAACATTATAAATTAGATTTAATATATATAGTTGTATGAAACTATGATAATATTTAACCTAGTAAATGCAGCATTGGTGAGCATAAGAATTTTTTTTATATATATCTAAAAATGTATTTATTTCAAAATATTCATATATCAAACTATATAACAAAAAAGACACTTAAGGGTGTATGAGAATTGTTCTGACTGGTGGCTTCAATAAAAGCATATACCATTAATTAATGACCTCAGAGCTCATGGTAGGTCTGTCTTAAATGATTTACACGGAATCATTAAAAATAAAATTTTCTATAGAGAAAATGACTGGGATTTTTAAGGCCAGAACCTGCCTGTTGTGCACTATTGTCTAATAGAGCATCTTTTGAACATGATTAAAGGATTCTCACGTACCCAGAAAGATCACAATGGCGTAGATTTGTGCTCCGAGAGTCTCTGGCTGCTCAGAGTGCAAAGGGAAACACACGCCATTGGTTCCATAGAAGTTTCTGAAAACCCCTTTACAGACCAGAGGCAGGAAAGCAATAACAAAGCCCAAGAGCCAGATGACCGCCAAAATGATAACAGTGCGTCTGCGGCCGGGGGTCAGGTATCGGAACGGGTAAACGATGCAGATGTATTTCTCCAGGGTGAGGTAGGTGAGAAGCAGAACTGACACCTCAGTTGAGAGCATGGCTAGAGATCCAATCACCTGACAGGGTACACTATCCATCCAGGCCTGAGCATGTCGGTTATACTCGCCCCGGAACTTCAGGTCATACGCGCCAATCATGAAGAGGTAGACACCCATCAGACCGTCTGCACCTGTGTAGTAGAGAAAGAGCTTGTAAGCTACACAAAACACATCGTTTTTATGAGTTATATGTGTATTTTACATTTCAGGAAATATGTGATAGTAATTTAATATAATATAGAAATATATATATAAAGCTTTAAAAAGATAGCACTGTGCTTTAATATAGTCAATACACTGTAAAAACTGAAATAAGTTTTGAGTTGAATTACATATAATAAATATATATGTACTGTATGTTTGTATATACAGCATAATTCAGTTCATTAGCTGCTGTGCTTGTTGGTTCAGCTTAATAAATCATATATTAATTGTACATTACACTTTTTGAGATATATTACTTGCCTTCCTGAATTTCCAAAACAAAAAACTAAGTACATCTTTGAGTTTTTCAGTCTTAGAATCCTTTTTTGCAGTACAGTTTGCATTAACCAGTCACTATGTATAATAAAAACTCTTGATGAAAACTGTCAGCAGGCTGAAAATCAAAAAGCCTTTATTACAAGTCTGGCACTTTCCACATCTGACCCATTTCCCCCCCTCCAGGGTCCCTAAAATTGAGTGCATTTCTCACCCATAGACTTTTAACCGAGAAACTTTACCCATGATGATCAGACTGACACAATCACATGAAAAAGTACTCGGTTACTGATTTAACCTTGGTTACCTGAGATACGGAACGGGTACTGCGTCTGTTTAAGACGCTTGGGGAAAACTCCTTTTTCTCCGATGACTGAAGCCTTTCAATAATGCAGTGTAACTGCACGGCCATTGGTTTGTGCAGTAAATAAAAAACGAACCAATGGCTCGGCAGCGGAGCCAAGTATTTTGCAGGGAAGCCCTGCAAAAGGCAGTACGGCTAAGCTCAGAGAGGTCGGCCCAGCCTTGTATCATCGTCCCGAAATAATTCAGTACAGCCTCGGAACTCACTGAGGGCCAAGAGCGTACATGAAGGACGCAAACGCCAAGCACTGGTTGTCATATGACAGAGTGCCCTGCTATGCAGAAAGGACCCGCACCTGTAAGGCCGGGATGTCCAGACTATAGAATCTGGAAAATAGACGGCGAGGACCAGCCGGCCACCGCACAAATTTCTGCAATGGACACACCGCTAGACCAAGTCCAGGAAGAGGCAACGTCTCTAGTTGAGTGGGCTCTTACTCCCATGGGGCATTGAAGGCCCAAAGAAGAGTATGCTAGCATAATAGCGTCGATTATCCATTTGGAAAGTCTCTGCTTCGTAACCGGACAACCCTTGGTGCGGCCACCGAAGCTTACAAACAGCTGATCCGACCGTCTGAACGGGGCGGAATGCTCAACATAGACTTTCAGTGCCCTGACGGGACAGAGTAAGTTCAACTCTTGGTCTTACTTCCATGGAGGAAGCGCCGATAGAGTTATTACCTGTGCTTTAAACGGAGTAGAGAGCACTTTAGGTACATAACCATGCCTTGGTTTCAGGACAACCTTAGAGTCGTTGGGCCCAAACTCGAGGCAAGTGGGGCTCACTGGTAGCACCTGCAGATCTCCCATATGCTTTACTGGTGCTAATGCTAGAGGCAGAGCAGTCTTAAGCGTCAGGAGATGAAGGTCAATGGACTGTAGCGGCTCAAAAGGAGGGCTCTTCAGAGCCCTCAACACCGTGGGCAGATCCCATGTAGGGACAGTGATGGGGCGAGGCGGGTTGAGCCTTCTAGACCCCTTCAGAAAATAATCAACCAAGTTGTTCCTGCCCACCGATTGGCCAGCTATAGAAGCGTGAGAAGCTGCTATGGCTGCTACATAGACCTTGAGCATGGAAGGGGAATGGCCCTTATCCAACAGCTCTTGCAGGAAGGACAATATCAGCGATATGTCGCATGAGATTGGGTCTGCGCACCGGGCTGTACATCAGGCGGAGAAGACAGACCATTTAACGGCGTAGAGGCGTCTTGTAGACGGTGCACTAGCCTGAGAGATTGTGTTTAGCACGTTCTCAGGGAGGTTCATAAGCTCCCATCGAGAGGCCAAAGGTGCAGAGCCCACAGCTCGGGCTGGGGGAGCCATATCGTTCCATTCGCCTGAGAGAGGAGGTCCCGTCTCAGGGGAATGGGCCACGGGGCTGCCGAGAACAGCCGGCACAGCTCTGCAAACCAGTGCTGGTTCCTCCAGAGCAGGGCCACCAACAGCACCTTGCATCTCTGTTCCCTGACTCGCCTGATCACCTGTGGGATCAGAGCGATCAGGGGAAAAGCATAAAGGAGGAGGTTGGGCCAGTCGTGGGTCAATGCGTCCCTGTCCTTCAAAAAGTAAGTTGGGCAATGAGAGTTGTCTTCTGAGGCGAAGAGGTCGACCTCTGCCCTGCCGTAGATCTCCCAGATTTTCTGAACCGTTTGAGAGTGGAGCTTCCACTCCTCCGAGGGGACATTGCTCCGAGACAGCATGTCTGCTCCTTGGTTCAGCCTGCCCGGTATATGCGCTGCTCTCAGCGAGCGCAAGTTGAGCTGAGCCCATTCCAAGAGGCGCTCCACTAGTGCGAAGAGGCGCTTCGAGGAGAGACCGCCCTGGCGATTTATATAGGACACTACCGTCATGCTGTCCGAGCGGACTAAGACGTGGTGTCCCCTTAGGTCTGGTAGAAAAGCTTGATAGTCCTG